TCAACAATTATTTAAGAAATAATTTTTTTTGAGATCGGATATTTTTTTTCAATATTTTAGGCAATTTTAAGATGAAAACTACTCTTATAAAATTTTCGGTAAGTGTGTGTGTGTGTGTGTTGTTTTTTTTTTTTTTATAGAGGAGGTAAAGTACATTTACGTTTGCCATGACTTGGTGTTGGTGCCAGGACTAGGTGTTGGTGCCTAGGTATTTCGGACTCAGAAGTCAATATTATTTTGCAACAATACCGACTAAACATCCTCCTCTCTCTTTTCCCCATAGATGTTACAGGGAAGACTGGAACGGGACCACGTTAGCATTACTTCAATCCAGTCCATGTTGTGTCTTATTACACCTCCTTCTTGTTTCTACTGGTTTTTAATCCCTTTCTGCGATTTTTTCTTTTAAAAGACGCTGCACGTAGGCCGCAACAGCTGGTCAGTTTTCGTCTTTTTTAATCATGCAAGTTACCAAGCTCTCAGGGGAGAGCGTGGTGCCTATTGTTTCTTCAGTGCTGATTCTGTTGTCCTTCCACCGATCACACTCGAAAAACGTGTGCTCGGCGTTTTCAATTTTTTCTGGGCAGTATTTGCACGTTGGTGTGCTGTGCAAACCCATCTTGAAAAGATAGGCATTGATGTCCATCGGTCCTGCCACTCTTGCTGCGTTTCCGCCTTTATCCTCGTTCTTGCGTCCTTCATGTTATCATCACTGTCTTTAGCGTCATAGAGTTTTGCTCTTTCGAACGCTAATAGGTCGATGGGCGCGGCTCCCGCAATGACCAATACAGCCGCTTCGGAAACTGTGCGGTAGGCGCAGGCAACCCTGAAAGCGCCTCGCCGCTGTACTGCTGCGATCTTTCGCCGATAGGTCTTCTGCTTTAATGTCTGCCCATATCTCCGCTCCATAAAGCAGTACCAAGTGGACTGCTTCTAGAAGAACTCTTCTCTTTTTTGTTCTTGGTCCCATGGTGTTGGTCATAATTCGTGCTAGGCTAGACACAGTCTTGCTGGCTTTCTTGCATGCACTTTCGAGGTGTTCACGGAAAGATAGTTTCTCGTCTATCATCACCCCTAGATACCGTAGGGCCCTTGTTGACGTCAGCTTTGTTCCTCCTATATCCACAGCGAATGGTTTTGGGAACCATTTTTGACGGGTCAAAACGACCATCTCGGTTTTATGCTTGGCGAGTTTCAGGTGATACTTATCGAGCCAAGTCTCGACGGTGTCGATGGTTTCCCGAACTAGCAGTTCGGCCTCTCCCACGCTGTCCGCCACTATAGTGGCTGCAACATCGTTTGCAAAGCCTGTTAGCTCTACTTGCTCTGGCAACAGGATTTCAAGAAGCTCGTCATAGTCTGTGTTCCATAAATCAGGCCCCATTACAGTAGTTTCCACTATTAGCTTTCTATCGTCAAGATAGTTGTCGACTAGTGCCAGATTTTCTGGCTCCGCGTCAAACTTGTGCTCTAGAGCGTCTAAAATGTCTCCCCAATTTGCGCTGTTAAATGCGTTTTTGACATCTAGCGTGAGGAGAGGACATACTTTACGAGCTTTGAGGCTACCAGACCATGCTTGTGTTGCTGTCTTTATGACTTTCCTGATCGCTCCGACTGTCGAATGACCTTTCCGGAAGCCATGCTGGTTGGTGGCAAGACCTCCAGCCCGGTCGATGTCATCGCGAAGTCTCCCTTGTATGAGCTTCTCGAGCACTTTTCCAGCAATGTCTAGCATACAGAGTGGTCTAAACGACGAAGGTGTTATGGGGGTTCCCTTACCTTTGTCTAAGAGAACCAATCTCTGCCGTTTCCAGACCGCGGGAAACGTGTCAGTTGCCAAGCATGCGTTGTAGGTGTTCAGGAGTATGTCTGGGTATTCCAGGGCTACAATCTTGATCACCGATGCCGGGATGCCATCAGGTCCAGGTGCCTTTCCTGTTTTGAGTGACTTGGCCGCGTCTTGTAGTTCCTTAGTTGTGAAGGGTGTTACTTCGTTGTTTTTAGTGTAGTGTTTCTTCTCCCGCGGCGGGTGTTTGGGGAAAAGCTCCGCTACGATGCTATCCATTAAGGCTGGAGACTTCGGCGCCTCTGGTGAAGCCTTTCCAAGTCGTTTTGCGACAATTTGGTAGGCTTTACCCCAGATGTCATTGTCGAGATCGTTGCAGATCTCTTTCCACAACTTTGCTTTACTTGCTTTGATGGCTCGGTTTAGCGTCTTTTTGGCCTGCTTGTACTCTTTTGAATACAAGTCCTGGCTTGGGGAGCGTTTTGCGGCTCTCGTTGCGTGGCGACGTAGTTGATGGCACATTTTGCGAAGTTCTGCTATGTCTGTTGACCACCAATACGCCGGTCTGTTAAAACTCCGGTTTTTCAACCGCGGCATAGAGGCGTCACATGCGGGGGAAATCTCCTTCATCGTATTTAGCACTGTCCTTTCTGTCTCGCTGCAAGTACCCGGAGTCGGGTTGTTTTGAAGGATAGACCAGCTCCGTGCAAGTGAAGCTTGCAGTGCCTCTGGATCAAGCTTCCTGACATTCCACTTTCGCTTAGAAAGGTCGTGTTGTGATACCGGAGCAGATGCCAATCCAACGTTAAATGTCACGAACTGGTGATCACTGCCACTGTATTTTTTGGATACTGTCCAGTTTTCTATCATGTTGGCAATTCTTGGAGTCGCCAGCGAAATGTCGAGGATGGACTCTCGGTACCCCGGTCTTCTGAAAGTCATGGTGCTCCCAGTATTTAGCACTATGAGGTCGAGTCTAGCCACGACGTCAGCGACCTCGTTGCCTCTGGTGTCGGAGAAAGCAGCGCCCCATTCAGCCGATTTAGCATTGAAGTCACCAGCTACGATAACTTCGCCGTCGAACTTAGTGATCACATCCTCTATATTTGCCAGTTTCTGTCGGAACACACTAATCCCTTCGTAAGGTGAGAGATAGACGCTCATGAAGTAGGTTATGGGGGTTTGAATCCAGACAAAACCTGCTCCACTTCCACTGTTGATGGTGGTAACGTTCTTTGTGTTTACAATCCAGATTGCCGCCGTGCCAGTTTTGTCTGCGAACCATGCTCTATCTTGGAGGTTTAGATATTGCTCACAGATGAAGCAAACGTCAATCCTCTCTTCCAAGACTTGCTGGCGAAGTAAATTTTGCGCCAACGCACATCTATTCAGGTTTCCTCGAAGTATGCGTGTCATTTCTGCCCTTTCGTAGCTTCGGCAAGTGCGGTGCGGAATACCTTACAAGCTCCGGAGCCTGGAATATGACATAAGTTATCTGGAGCTTCTTGTTCCGGTGTACAGAGGAAGCACTTTGGCTGTTCAACGCAGTCTGCAGCTTTGTGGTTTCCTCCCCCGCATTTAAAGCAGCACTTGCTTCTGTCAGGCCCCTTGCAGGAATTCGTTGCGTGCCCGTATTCGAGGCATCTGATACAGCGTGTTACTTTTACAACTGGTCGAATGCGGCAGTTAACCCATCCGATCATTATACGAGCCTTGTCAAGGATTTTGAACGCGCTAGCCTTGTCTATCTCGCAGAAGGCTGCCCGGTTGCCCCGTCGAGTAGGCTTTGTCAAATTTACCCGTTTGATCTCGAGGCTGTCGGAGAAGTCACGTTTGAGTGCTTCGCGGACGTCGTTCTCAGTAGTGATGGCATCCAAGTCCAGGATCTCGATCGTTGTTTTTGGTGTGAGCGTTCTGACTGTACCGATGTTAGCAGTTGCTGTTTTTATTACAGCGATGAAAGTGGTAGTGTCTTTCGATCACTATTTTAGATAAGGATCGAAACAGGTAGAGTAGGATCAGTGGGAAAAACAGATCTATCAAAGAATAGATCGCAACCCAAGTCTTGCGATCTATTTCTAGAAGAACGCCCCCTCGCCTCGTTTGTTTGATAGACTTTATGTCTACTCCAGTCTCTGTCGGATTAACCTTGGCTTTGATTTCCTTGAGGAGATCGGCGTATGTTCAGCCTTCAGCTGGTTGGACAAGCACAGCTTTAGTTTTTGTCTTCTTCCTCCTCGGTTTCTTGGAGCCAACATTGCTTGGCTGGTTTTGAGCTGTAGCAGATTGAGCCACTGGCTCCTGTTCTTCCTTTTTCTTGTTCTTCCGAGTCACTTTGGTCCACGTATCTGCCCGGGCTGTCTTCTTCTGTGCTGGCTTGTCGATTTCTGAGGAAGGGCTGGGTGTGGATAGCGGCCTCTTCTTGTTGTTCTCTTCTCTATGCTGTGTTTTCTCAAGAGTGACCGAAAACGTCTGGGATTTTTTGTTCAGATCCGGAGATGTTTGCGTGGTTCTCGCCGACTTCGTTGCTGGTTTGTTGGCCAACTTATATGCCGTGGTATTGGACGCTACTATTTTTCTGAGTTCATGATGGAGATTTCGTTTATCCTTTATGAACTCAGCCAATTCTTCGATCTTGCTACCGAGCCGTTCCATTGACGATTGTTGACTAGTGACAGTCGGTAGAGAGTTGATCCTCCCTCGGCATGCGTGAGTGTTGACGGGAGCAACAGGTCTTCCGCCTATTGGAGAAAAGTTTGTTTGCTGTGCGTCTACTTCCATCAGAGCTGTTTCTTTACTCCCTGTAGCATTGCTAGCATTGCTAGACAGCAGAGCCATGGGGTCCACTCCACTGTTCAAACGGTCGCTTGATAACGACGAGTTCAGGCCCGTTTGTACGCCTTCCCTCGCCGGCACTAAGGTATCCCTCCTCTGCACCGTAGACGATGTTTGAAATTGTTCTGACATTTTCATATCGTTGTTTATGTTGTTCATTTGGCACTACCCGGAGAGCACGTGTAGGGTGTAAAAGCAGAACCTACGGACACGAACAACGCTACCCTCCGTGAGTGTGTGTGTGTGTGTGTTTTTTTTTTCCCTTTAGGGGGGGGGAATCCTTTTTACGGATTCTAGGCATAGATGTTGGCCCGGATATGTGGCGACTCGACGCAGCATCATACTAAAACTTGACGCTGACGCCCCTACCCACTAAACCCTAAACCCCTTTCTCTTTTATCCTCTGATCCCCCATGGTATCGCCGTAAAGCATTTCTTCGCGGGGGGAGGGATTAGTTGCCGCTCTTCCTTCTGGTGGCTAAGATGGTATCTTCCTTATAGATTCTGTTTTTTGCTCTTTTTCTCTCGATGGAACGCAGCTCTGTGAGCACTTCTGTGGCAAAAGTGTTCGTTGCATTCCAGGCAGCTTCTGAAGACAGCATTGCTTCTATGATTGACTCTGGTTGAATTGTCTTCTTCAGGATCTTCTCCAGCTCCTCACGTTGTTGATTGAAACGCGAGCACTCGAAAAAAACGTGCTCTGCATCTTCAGTGGCTTCAGGGCAGGACGGGCACTCCAGAGAGTCGTCATGCCTAAAGCGGTGAAGATAATCCCGAAAGCAGCCATGTCCTGACAACATCTGTGTTAGGTAGTAGTTGACCTCACCGTGATTCCGGTTCAGCCAAATGTCGATCTTTGGTATGAGACGATGCGTCCATCTACCCTTCTCTGCGGCATCCCACTGAGATTGCCATCGTGCGATGCTGTGCTGTCTTTGTTCCGTTCTGAGTTCTTCTGCGCTCAGTGTTGTTGACCTCTTTCGTTGGTAAAGGTTCCGTCTTTCTTCAGCTAGGACTCTGAGAGGTAGAGTTCCAGAAATGACGCACACTGCTTCCTCAGATATTGTGCGGAAGGCGCAAGCTACTCTTAGGGCACTCAGACGATATACTGGTCCTGCCCTTCTCCATGATTCTTGCTTTTCTAGTGCGTCCGCCCAGATAAATATTCCGTAAGTGAGCACTGATGTGATTACAGATGATAGTAGTAGTCTTCTTCTCTGCTTTGGGCCTCCGACGTTTGGCATCAGCGATGCTAAGCTAGCTACCACTGCTGATGCTTTTGCACTCGGGTGTTTGACTTGCTGCTTAAAGTTGAGTCGGGCATCAAGCATCACTCCCAGATATCGGATATATGGTTGTGATGTAATTTCTTGTTCTCCGACTTTCAGTTTTATGGTCTCTATCACTTTTCTGCTGGTAATAAGCACAGCCTCAGTCTTCTGTTTAGCCAGTTGTAGATTCATTGAATCCATCCACCGGTTAACTTTCTCAAATGTAATACTGAACATGTGCTTTATCTCATCTAGGTGTTTCGCAACGATTACGACAGCTACATCGTCTGCGTATGCAACAAGCTTGACACTTCTTGGTAGAATCAGTCTCAGCAGGCCATCATACATGACATTCCACAGAAGTGGACCCAGAACAGAACCCTGGGGTACGCCTCCGGTAATATCGTACTCTTTTGGAACATTCTTCGTGTCATATCTCAGGATTCTGTCCGTAAAGTAGCTAGCCACTATCCTACGTAAGTATCCTGGTACGTTTTTCTCTTCCAGAGCTTGCATAATGCAGTCCCAGTTGGCGGAGTTGAAGGCATTTTTGATGTCCAGAGTGGCCACCAGGCAGTACTTCTTCGCTCCACCCTTCCATCTGATCCCTTCGATTGCCTCCTTGGCCGTTGCAACAACCAGGTTGATTGCGTCCAGGGTTGATCGTCCTTTCCGAAAACCATACTGGTTGTCTGCCAGGAGTGGATCGACAACTGCTTCTATTCTTTGGTGGATTATACGCTCAAGTATCTTACCTGCCGTGTCTAACATACAAAGTGGTCGATAAGATGACGGTTCTTCTGGTGGCTTTTTTCGTTTTGGAAGTAGTACTAGTCGTTGCTGCTTCCACTTCCGAGGGAAAATCCCTTCCTTGAGGCATGTGTCGTAGACGTCCAGGAACAATGATGGCACTGCTTTTATAGTTGTTTTTAAGGCAATATTGAGGACCCCGTCCAATCCCCTACACGATTATAAGCCTCCATCAGTTCTTCCTCCGTGACAAATGGAATGTCATCCATTTCATTCTGCGCTACTAGGTAGTTAACCTCGCTTTGTCCAGGGAACAACGCGTTTACGATCTTCTGTAGGAGTTGAGGACACGTGGGTGATGGCATTAGCTGGTTTTTAAGATGGGTCATAACCACCTTATACGGCCGACCCCACAGATCTCTGTGCACCTTGTTGATGAGCTCCTTCCAGCATTTTCTTTTGCTATCTTTGATGGCTTTGTTCAGGGATCGACGGGCTTTTTTGTACTCTGCAACCAGTTCCACAGAGTTAGTTCGTCGGTAGCCACGCTGAGATATTCTTCTCTTTTGATGACACTCTTTACGAAGGGCGCTGATGTGGTCGTTCCACCAGTGAACGGAAGGTCTTGTGTTCATGCCACGTCTACGAGACATACTGGCGTCGCACGCCTGGGTCACTCTTTTTATCAGGTCCTCGGTCTTCTCTTCTGCGCAGCCCGCGATAATCTGGTCACTATTGAGAGCTACTAACAATGCACTTGGGTCAAGAGTTTTTACCTTCTAGCCAATGGTGTTAAGTTGCTCTTTAGGTCTTCTCGGGCTCTGGGCGTTTAATATTTCCCAGAGAATCGCGTTGTGGTCGCTGGCTGTGTAGGTATCCATCACCTTCCAGTTGATGTTACCTCTGGTGAGGCTGCCACTGACGAAAGTGAGATCTACAATAGAACTTGCGTCTCCCTTGGTGTAGGTTGGTGTGTCACCACTGTTGAGCAGTACTACATCTAATGTAGAAAAGGCTTCTAGTAATTTCTTTCCTCGCGCGTTTGTATGCTTGCTTCCCCAGTCTACTACCCAGGCGTTGAAGTCCCCAGCTATTGCCACTGGGTGGTAATGCTTCGCGTCTTCGGTAAGTCGATCCAGAAATGCGGTGAATTCGACAGTAGAGAGGCTAGGTGGTGCGTAACAGCTATAGAAGCGAATGCCCTCTACTGATACTGCTACAAAGCCGGCATTGCTGTTGTCGACCGCATTTTGGAAAGGGAGCTTGCCACATGACCAGATGACAGCTTTGGATGTGCTGTCAGATTCCCAGGGTTGGGTACTCAGGTGTTTATATGGCTCTGCTATCAGTACCAAGTCAAGCTCTAGTTCTCGCACGGATTGCATGAGCAGGTCATGCGCTGCCTCACAATGGTTGAGATTGAGCTGCAGTATCCTCATGCTTGTTTGTTCGTCAACTTCTGGAGTGCATTTTGAAATACCGGGCACTTATGGGTACCGGCATGGTGGGCAACATACTCTACACTTTCAATCTCAGCATATAATGCACATTTGGCTGGATTTTCGCAATTAGCAATCTTGTGCCCTTCTTGTCCGCACCTGATGCAAAGCCTAGACCGATCGACTTTGCTTTTGCACTGGGATCCGAAGTGCCCAAAGTGCCAGCATTTGAAACATTGGACAGGTCTCTTCGTTGCTCTTATTCGACAGTTGGCTCAACCAATTCTCACTTTGCTGTTACCTTCTAGTAACTTCTGTGCAGTTGTCGCTGGTAGCGTCACTGTAGCCGTTTGCGTACCTCTGTAGGCCTTACGGATCTTGATAGCCTCTAGTGGTATTTCGCAAGTTTCTCCGGTTTCCGTTTTCAGGCCAGTCTGAATGTGCTCCTTCGTCGTGTCATCATCAACGTCTCGAATTTCGATCATCTCCTGCGGTCCTTTGCAAATTACTTCAGCTTCTTTTTGAAGAACGTCTGTGATGGCCTTTTGCAAGGCTTGACATTTGTCAATACTCTTCTTTGAGAGCGTAATCAGCATGTTCCCGGTTTTGGTTTTGTGGATCTTTTCCATGGTTGTGCGGACCTGTTCGTCGGGAACGACCTGCTTTATACGACGCAATATTTCAGCGTAAGTAGATAAGCAAGGCCGGTTTGACCCCCCGATAAAGTAGATTTTTGCAGTACCGACCTTGGGTTTCTGCCTTATCGACGGTCGTTGGTGGAGTTTCTGCGATATTGATGGTTGGTTTTTTGTGCTCTACTTACCGACTGTTGTTGGGGATGATCATCGATTTGTTGGTCGATTTTTTTACCGACTGTTGGGGGATTATCATCGATTTGTTGATCGATATTTACCGACTGTTGGGGGATTGTCATCGATTTGTTGGTCGATTGTTTGAGGTCAAAATGCTACCACCCCAACAGCAGAGCTGATACCTTTACCGTGTATCAGCTTTGGTGTTGATGTGATATGCACTTATTTGATGTGATGATGAATTTTGTATATATTCAAATGACTTGTAGTATAAGTATATGCGAGAAAGACCGATACTTACGCCGCTCTGGTGGGATGAAATGTAGGTATTGAAGTCTGTTTATCGATTTGTGGTAAGTTTTATCGACAGTCTGATGTCAACGAGTGATCTATGTTATCGACTGCGAGTATCAACAGTCGGTACTATACCAAGTGGTGTTCTGTTTTATCGATGCGGGGGTAAGAGTTTTTTGAATTTTAACGTTTTTAGCCCCCTACTCTCTCGATTACATCATGTTTTTACGCCATCCGACAAGTTTAAACCTGCTTTTTAGCGTCATCATCGTGAATTTTAACGTTTTTTACCCCCTCTTCTCTCGATTACATCGATACTTACGCCGCTCTGGTGGAATTAAATGGAGGTATTGAAGTTTATTGATCGATTTGAGGTAAGTTTGATGTCAATTTGTGGTCTATGTTATCGACAGTCGGTTTGATACCGAATAGATGTTCTGTTTTATCGACATGGGGTAAGAGTTTTTTTTCTGAATTTTAACGTTTTTTAGCCTCTTTCTCTCGATTACATCGTGTTTTTTACGTCATCCGACAAGTTTGAACCTGTTTTTTTCGCGTCGACATCGTGAATTTTAACGGTTTTTTAACCCCACCTCTCTCGATTACCTCATGTTTTTACGTCATCTGACAAGTGTAAACCTGTTTTTGGTGTTGTCATCGTCGTTGGGAGGGGATCGTTGGTGGGGAGTTATACATACTTGCCTCCAAATTTCAGTCTTCTGCCTGCAGTTACTTCAATCAGTCGTTCAGTTTAAAAAAAATTTGTGTCTTTTTTTAAAAATATTTAAAATTGTGTACTCTACGGAAAATCAAGTAAGTCATTTATTTCATTATTCTATTTTATAACTAATTTCTACTATTATTATTATTAACTATTTTCTATCTATTTCTTAGCTTAATAATTCAAAAATGGATTTGAGTGCTATCAATAAAATCAACAACTTACCGAACTTTCTACCAACTAAAAAGTTTGAAGAACTGCAACTAAACAAGATTTATCAAATCACGGAAATTAAGAAAGTCAACACAAAATATGGACCAAAAATTTTGGGAATTCTGGAAAACGAGTTTTCAATCTTCTTCCCGAATCGAACCAA